CCAGGGCCCATTTTATTTTAAATAAGACTCTATGTTAACTTGAAAACATTTTGCTGGCCTAGGTGTACATCAGAATCATCATTTCTCACTTTATATTCAAGGAAAAATGTTTTCAGAAGCTGTGAGTTCTTTTTTTATATTTTGACTAGAGGCCCAGTGCATGAATTCATGCACCAGTGAGGTCCCTCGCCCTGGCCTATGGGATGGGGTCCAAACCAGCTCTCTGACATCTCCCAAGGGGTCCTGGATTGTGAGAGGGTGTAGGCTAGGCCGAGGGACCCCACCAGTGCATGATCGGGTCCAGGGAGTGACGCGGGAGGTTGGCCAACCGGAAGGGACCATGGGAGGGCTCCAGGGCATGTTCAGCTGGTCTTGCTCAGTCCCAATCAGCCAGACCCCAGCAGCATGCTAACCTACCGGTTGGAGTGTCTGCCCTCTGGTGGTGAGTGCACGTCATAGCAACTGGGTGGCTGGTGACTGCACCCTGGTGGTGAGTGCACGTCATAGCAAGTGTTTGAGGGGTCTTAGCATATCATTAGTATATGACGCTTTGATTGGTTGAATGGCTGGACAGATGATCAAACACTTAGCATATTGGGCTTTTATTATATAGGCTTAACTAAGACCCAGGTCCTCTGCCTCTGGCAACTATAATGTTAAATTTCTAGTCAGTATTTAAAAGAAAATGCAGGATTTATGTGGAACAGTGAAAGATCATTTAGAAGCCCCCAAATCATCAAACTAGTCAACACTATTTTAAGTGCAGATGATGCCAGACATAGGTCTCAAAATAATCTTTGGCACACCACAGCTGAGTGTGTGTGTGTGTGTGTGTAGCGGGGAGTGGGAAGGATGATGGAGCCTTCTGCCTGCCTATGAGATTTGCAACATGTATGTTCATCTTTGTTATATGGGTCACTACAGCCTTGCTCTGGATGTGGACCCCACTGGAAGCAAATCAATACATAATAATCCACATAGTAGCCCCTACAAAAATTGTATTTGAGATTTATTTTTCTCTTTCTGTCCTGGAAAAACTTTTCTTAAAAAGTGATGCTTCCTTATTTTTTGTGGTTGCTGTATATCCCTTTTTGCACTGGCTAGCAGGAAGTTCATAGCTACCTTTGAAGCTTTATCAGACCATTTATATCCCTTCTTATAAGCCTCTATTGTGTTCTCCTATTCTGTGGTAAAATAGTACCTATTTTTACCTTTTTTCCTTATATCCTAGTTCTTTTTGCCATTACTTTTTATTGTATATGTTTATGCAAGCTATTTCCTTTGTAGAAAGAGGAGGGTATAGGCCAACAAATAAATATTTCTCTAAGCTGCTTTAAATCTTATATCAAAATAGAATTGCTTTTTTTTTAAAAAAAAACCCATATAAAGTCTCTATTGAATTCTTGGTGATTAAGTTTCTTACAAGTTGAAAGAGATTTCATAAAAGCTGGGTACATATTACTGCTACATTTTCAGTGTTAGAAATCTGCTGTTTTCTTCCTTCATTTTCACTCCTGCTTATCCCTTGATAGCTAGAGAGCAGAGTGGTGTTTAGCAGTTTTGAGGGCCATCACTGGATAGAAGTCATTTAATCTCCATGTAAACCAAACTCAGCATCGATATTTAGGGGTCTTCCTTTAAGACAAGGCCTCATGGTGAGTCCCTGGAAGTCATTTTTACTAGGGGAAGGAAATCAACCATACACATTTCAACAACCTGAGACTACATCTTGGATGTTAGGTTAAATATCTCTGGCCAAGTCAAAAGTGCTGCCGAAGAGGTTCAGATATCATCATGGATCCTTCATTCCCATCATCATGGGAAAATAAGAAAATACTTTAAAGAGGATAATTGGTACACACACACACACACACACACACACACACACTCACACCCTGAACACCAGGCATTGCTACACTCAGTGGCCTGTAGAATAATAATCCACTCTGGCTGTCTCTATATTCTTTCTACTCAACAGAGCTCAGTAGAAGTTTCTCTACTTAATTTTCTTATGAGCCAAAAATAACTTCAATCCTTTCCTGAACATAAGCCATTTTAAAGTCACCATATTTATTTACATGTTGAAAGGAAATAACACTAAGGAAGGAATATCTTGGGAGTTACATGCAGACAGAGCTGTGCTCTAACACACCCCCATGCTCACCACATCCCTCAGCGATTTCAATGACAGTCTCTGATGCTACAGGTGCGTGCTGTCTTTATTTCATGAAACTACTTATAAAGAAAAGGAGGGAGTATAACTTTATAGATTCCTTATCACAGTCTAGAATTTGATAGAATAACCACTGAAGCCAAGTTGTAGGACACAGCAGAGTTTTTGGGTGTGTGTGTAAATGATGAAGTATGTGCTCAATGACTTTGAGTATATGTTACTTTGTATTCAGCCACAAGCACCCCACATTTGAAGAGGGCCCTGAAGAAACTTGGGAACTGTTAGGTCTCAGGAACTGTAATTACCCAATTAGGACTTAGAACGTTAACTGGGTTGGAAATCCCTTCCCAAAGTTTTACCTTAGCCTTTCTTCGCCTCATTCTTTGGTGCACATAAAAAAGTACCATGCTCTTATCAGTCTGTTTTCATGTTGACCCAGAACTATTCTTAAAATTTAGTTCTGAACTCTAAATACTAGTACATGCAATGGCATATGCAAAAATCATTTTCTAGTGACTTACCCTTCATCATTTCAGCTGTGTAATGCCTCCAAAGGACGACCTCCATCTCATACCTCAGAGCCTCTACCAGCATACTGACCATTTATGGCAACACTGCACACATCTACCCAGAGGGCAACAGCACACTATGCCAGTGTCTACCCTGGGAGGTCAAGATGCTGGCTATAGACACACACTTTAAAACCCATCACATACAAGCAGAGAATGACTGCATGGGAGTTGCCAGCTACTGTGCCATGTCTATGCAGCTACTCTATTCTGCTGAAACCTCAAATTTGACTCAGATTTTAGGACAAGATTGACTTAATGTTACAGGAGAGAAGCAGTGAAATCAACTGCTTTTAAGGAGAAATCAGCATAGGGTTAAAGCCAAATTTTTCTTGAACAGATGATATTTCAGATGGCCACACAATTCCAGATGCATCAATTTCCTTGAAAATCCAATCCATATATGTGCATATGCTGTGCTGGCAGGAGGACCAACTGAAATGGCCGAGACCCAAGAGCTAATATTCTTTTGGCCGGAATAATGCAATTATTATTTTCCTAGCTATCAGTCTAAGCATACAGAGCCATCTGTTATGCAAAGCAAACATACACATCTCAATTACAGAAAATGCAGTTGCCTTGACAGAATTTGGATTACACCACTAACCAGGGCTGTAAAATGTGTTTTGAGCTAGTATATAATGGATGCTTTTCAGGAGTTCCCTAATTAGCATTTACCTGCTTAAACTAATTATTCATCCTTCTTCTTCACTGGCTGATTAAACTTTGTTGGACAGTCTGCATAAAACAGATGAATATGGGCATTATAGAACAACAAACAGTGGTGTTTCTGGATTTATACCTATTATCATGGTGGCACACCAATTTTAAAACTGGAGAATCCCCATATGAGGTCCCAAACAGATTAAGACAAGGCTTAAAGTCTATTATTAAAGGCAATTATAAAACCAGAGCTTTCAAAAAGATGCAAGAATACTAATAGTGAGTTAATAATAGCTCCATTTCTATCATTTGGCTTGCTGAAGTCCACAAAAAAACAGAATTACTCTATATACTATAGCAAATAGCTTGCACTCTTTTCAAGGAAGAGTTAATGGACCCTTGCTTGGATTCTCAACAGTAAATTATCAAATTTGGCACTGTTTCTCCTCCTCCCCCAACCCATCTTGAATGCCAAATATCTCTTTATTATTTCCCAATGTCTTTCTTAATTTATCCATTATTCAGCAAACTCACTAATAGCCAAAAGGTTCCAGCCACACTGGAGACCCCCTTAGAGTGATGCCAACTTTCAGAATCAAGGATTCTGGGGAGGGTCCTGCTTAAGAGAAGACAAATCTTACCTCCATCTTTAGCTCCAAGGAGCAACTGAATGAGAAATAGATTATCCAACTTGGCAGATCATCTCACACACACACACACTCCCTCCCACCCAGGCTGCATTTCTCTCCTGCCAAACCACCAGATGAAAGGGTCAAACTCAGCCAATCACCTGTATGGGCACAAATATCCAGGTGTTCAGCATTTTTATGGAGAAACATCTGGATAATTAGTTGGATGGCAAACTTTTCTTCGGGGTATTTTTGCATTCTTTAGACACAGCTAGTGTCTTGGAATCCAACGGAGATAAAGGTTTTGTGTTCCAGAGGAAGAGCGAGAACGAACTCTAGGATTCTGTCCCTTGTCCCAGATGCCTCCGTTTTCTTACTTTGAACCTCTAACAGACGCATGTGAGTAATTAAACTGCAAGTAATACAAGGCTATTTAACTTTATGAAACTGTCTTTCCGCATTTGGAAGCATCTGCAAAAGCAGCAGAATATATCCTTGCTGGAATCCTCCCTGCAACACATTTTAATGGTCTCTTTCAGCATTTCTTGACTCCAGTGACTCCCTGTCATTGTGTCAGCTCCCAGGACAATGCAGGCAACTCCATAAACATCCAGTAATAGGACACAAGGGAAGTGCTATCCCTGTGTCCCTCTCCTACCAGGTACAGAGGTTTCAAAGTTCAGAACAACCAAGGGAAGAAACTTCATTTGTTTCCAATAAATTAATAATGACCCTTGGGGGTGTGGAGGGGACTAAAGTTTTTGAGCACAAGTTTATTTCGAATGCTCCCTACTGACATACCATTTTCCCACTGACTTTGTGAGAGAGAAGAGTCGGGAAGATTGATCAAAGAATAATTCATTCTTTGGTAATTCATGCTAAACAGAATATCCATTGAGCAAGAAAAAGCACGAGATTCAAGGAGCCTACACAATCACCACCAAGAATCTAAATGGTTTTACTTACTTGTGAGAGGCCTAGGTAGATTGAGACTGTTTCAGAAATGTACAAAAATTTTCCTTCTTGATTTAGTGCAAACACAAAGCCATCCAGGGACTGTAGGAAGAAAAAATAAATAAGAAGGTTAATAAATATATATGATGGAGGTTTAATTAGTAAGGAATCTGATACAAGTAACACATATCAAATTAAAGACCATTTTTTTCCTTCCTGTTGAACAAAAGTCCTAGGATCTTTTACCATCGCATTATAATGAACAAATTAAAGGTCTGAATTAAGATCACAAGCCTTCCTTTATTTCAGTGCTTCCTTATGTCCCTGTCAATTTGATTAAGATGCATTACATTCATGTATAAAATTGGGTCATGTTGATGTTGCATTTATTATGTTATAAGATGTTGCATTTATTATTTATTTATTTATTTGGATTCAGTTGTTACTAAGATTAAATCAGCAAGATTCTCCATTTAATAGCTGAACAGCAATGGAAATTGTAATGAAATGAGAGAAAAAATAGTTCCTTATGAAGACCAAGTAAAATCACCCCTTGAGCTACTATGGACATCAGTAATTTGCTAATTAATAAAGGATTATGCCCGCCTCACTCCCACTGCCTTTTGTTAGAACAGATAGGAGAAGTCAGTACCTTGTGGGGGAATGTTTATAGGCTGAGACCTTACAAATTGGGATCCTTTTTTTTTGCAAAACTCTGTATTAAAGTTTTTTGTGTGACAAATCTACTTTCTATTATGACTCCTGAAATGGAAACAAAAGGAGAAAGGCAGGGGGTGGGGGTGAGGGGGAGAAGGATGTTACACACTGTTTGTAACTCTGGAAACCTTAGTTCACTTTTTAAATGGAGGGCTGCGTTTTCAGTTTGATAAATGGTCGAAATCATCAGGGACTCCAGCTGCAATGTACCACTCAAATTGAGAATAAATTTGTTTCAAATTCTTATAATACAGATGCATTTTATGTGCTATCATCTTCATGTCTTTTGTTTGCTTTATTTATTTACTAGAGACCCAATGCACGAAATCTGTGCAAGAGTAGGCCTTCCTTCCCCCGGCTGCCAGCACCAGCTTCCTCTGGCAACTGGAACTCAGACTTCCCTTGCAGCCCCAGCTTCGTCCAGAAGGTCCTCTGGCCTAATTAGCATATTACGCTTTTTAACCAGGTAGATTGCACAAACACTACTTGCATAGGAAGAGAAGTTTTAAAGACTAGTGGTATGCACAGAGGCTGTGACTTTGGAAGTATAGGAAATCCACAGTGGGAACCAGGTAAGTGGCAGCACTGAATGACATAATTCTTAAGTATAAAAATATGGAAGAAGAATGTAAAATTTAATTAGAAAAATAGGCTGCTTGAAATCTCAGCAATTTCAGTCTCCTAAAATACTAATTTTTTTTGAGAGCGATATAGGTATTTATGTATCTATTTATCTATGCATGTTGGAATATGTGTGTTTATGTATTTATATGTATATATGAGATTCAAATTCCGTGCTTCCAGATCCTTCTTCATAGCCCTGCTGGTCAGAAACTGTGGGCGGCGCCCCACCTCTTCCTCTGATTTAGTGGTTTCTAAAAACACTTCAAAAATCATATTGCCTTGTTCCACATAAAAGCAAATTACATAATAAACAAGCTTTTGGTTAAGATAGTATAATAATAATGATAGTTTATATTTATTAAGCAATATGTGCTAAGCAGTTTGCATATATTCACTTTTAATTTTCACAAGTACCATTTGAAGTAATTATATTGTTATCTACATTTTACATGCTAGGGAATTGAGGCTTAGCAAAGTTAGGCAACATTTCTGTCCCTAGGGAGTGGCAGAGTTGGGACTGGAAAGCTGATAGACTTGGTGACTATGCCGCCTTCCACTAAATATAAAGATTCTCTAATTAGTATTGTATATTAATGAAAAAATAAATTGTGCAGCATTTCTGAAGTGAAAATATTTATATTGAGGCAGCTTAAAATTCACTTGTTTTTAAATGATTTGTCCAAATGACAGAATCCTCTCATTAGTAGCAGGAGAAACATGAGAAATGGGATGACAAGAGAGTTCGTAAGTCACTTTCACAATAGGTCACCTTTGCTCTATAATATCCCTCCTGGAACCAGCTATGGGACACGGAGTGAAATACTAGCAGAGAGAGTTCCTTAGCACAGGACAAAACCTCAACCCCATGGTGAGATCCACCTTTCAAGCTGACAGTGTGGTGCAGTGGGACCTTATTTAAACCAGTGCAAAAGGGAGAGAGATGCCTTTTGCGGAAGTCTGAGGAGGAGCTCATTCAGCACGTCTTCACCTCATGGAAGCTGTCTCCCGAGGGTGACCCATGGGGATTATGACGCTCCCCTTTCGACCTCCCCCGTGGAGAGAAGGGCCTGGTTAGGTTTTCCATGCAACCTGATAGCCATGGCCTGGCATACAGTCACCAAGAGTTGGGTAGCCATCTTCTCAAACCTGAAATGCCACTGTCAGAAAAGAAGAGAGAGAGAGAGAGAGAGAGAGAGAGAGAGAGAGAGAGAGAGAGAGATCACAAGAGAATGTCTACAGGGACAAATGACAAGGAAAAGGCTGATCAAAAGCAGAAAAGACTGGTGGAGCTGGCGCAGAGATAATCTGTAGTGTAGTCTTCATGTTATAGGCGAGGAAACTGAGGTACAGGGAGGCTAAATGGTTGGACCAGATCAGCCAGCCAGCAGCACAGCCAGGATGGGAGCTGCTGCGCTTCATTAGTATTATCGAAGTGTTTATGACATGATGTGTCCCTGGCTAGTTTATTCAACTCTAAAGGAGACTGAGTTTCTCAACAGCGGGTGATAAATTATTCAACTTTATCTAGCCAGCACCTAACAAACTGCTCAGCCAAGGCTTAGTAAATGCGCAGAAACCTCCAAACCCAGTGCTCTCTCTCCCTTACAGCACACATGCTACAGTGACTGAGAGGGATGGCAACCCCCTCCAAGGGTTCTGTTTCTGGACCTATTAGATTATTTGCAGATTCTGATGCTCCAGATGTCTAACATAGTCTGGAATATCTCCTGACACTTGGAATATCAGAGTTAGACTGGATTCTTTTATAGTCTTCCAAAACACGGAGAGCTATTCATTTGCCATCGACACACATCCTTTACTTTCTCACTAAGAGGGATTTTGCATTTTTAGCATTAGGTTCATATCTCATGTATTTGCTAAAATACTAGAGGAGGTCTGGATACCATAGCAGGGAAACGGAATATCTGGAGGCTAAACATCTGACGCTATTAAGCAGCAGTGATCTAAGGACTGGCCAGTTTTGTTTGGCAAAAACAGAGGCTTCAACACATGTTCCAATTTCCTGGTGAGATTAAAATGAGTCTGTGTCTACATGACACAAAGTGTCCAGTCAATTCAATTAAAAATAACAGCCAATGTGGTGGGGATAAAAACAACTAGTCAGATTAGTTATATGACAGCACAGAGTTAAACAAAAGAAAAAAAAACAAAAGTGGTTAGCTAATTTTCCACTTTTATGCTTATCAACCATTTCAGTCTATTATATCTTTAGTGTGAAATGAATGACTAATAGTCTGGTTAGAATACCTGGCACATTGAAGAATGGGATAGGAAACCACGTCTTAGTGGACTGGCAAGGTTGTTCTTTATGTAGCCATTGCCTTCTCACTCAGAGTGACCCCTATCTATAGTTAGCTGTATTTTGCTGCTTAGAGAAGTCTTTTTCTTTTTTTAATCTTCACCCGAGGCTATTTTTCCATTGATTTTTTAGAGAGAGTGGAAGGGAGAAGGAAAGACAGAGAAACATTGATTTAAGAGAAACACATTGATTGGTTGCCACCTGCATGAGCCCTGACCAGGGTCCGGGCCGGGGAGGGGCCTGCAACTGAGTTGAGGTACATGCCCTTGACCAGAATCTAACCCGGGACCCTTCTGTGCACAGGCCAAAGCTCTACCCACTGAGCCAAAACAGCTAGGGCTTAGAAAAGTCTTAAGAGTAGCATCAATATTGGTTGAATGTGGGTATCTGAATTCTAAAAGATGGGAGGAGAAAAGAAACATTCAATCAGTTAGTCCTGGGAACCAAATATGATTAATCTGAAAGTTCTGTGGAACTTTTTAAAAAATTTGAATCAAGAAAGCTACTCTGTGCTGAGTTGTTTTAATCACTGCAGGCTAGTTTTTAACTTTTTTTTTTTTTTTTTTAAATCTGCCCACTGTTTCAACAGGCGCCAATTAAGATTCTGGGGTCAAAGGGTTAATTACATCTTCTTACTCAGCATGTAGAATTTTCTGATTATTAACTAAGGTTGGATTAAGATGAAAAAGAACCTACACAAATGTTAATGCTAGCCCCTCCTTGAGAAGATTTATTAGAAAGCCATGCTGGAATCTATCTGCTTCCCTCAAAGCAGATGGAGAGCAACATCTCAGAAGAAACAGTAAAACAGACATTTTAAGGCAGGCATGTAGCTCATTTATCAAGAGTTTTCTTATTACTAAACCCAGTTCTTATATATATATATATTATTGATTTTTTATAGAGAGGAAGTGAGAGATATAGAAAGTTAGAAACATCGATGAGAGAGAAACATCGATCAGCTGCCTCCTGCACATCTCCTACTGGGGATGTGGCCACAACCCAGGTACATGCCCCTGACCGAAATCGAACCCGGGACCCTTCAGTCCGCAGGCCGACGCTCTATCCACTGAGCCAAACCGGTTTCGGCACTAAACCCAGTTCTAAGCCATCACAATAGGGCAGATAGGAGCTTTCCTTTGTCACATCCCAGTAAGTCCATGAGGCACACATGTCGGAGTGAGGCTTGGGAATAGAACTCAGGAGTTGCAGCATCTCCAAATAGCAATGCCTGTGATTATTATGTATGTCCCCTGCCATCAGTGCAGCATATAAGGGGAAAGCAGAGTTTCCTAACCCTCAAAGCTGTGCCTCCCACAGTATTTGTCAAATGATGAGGTTATTTCCTTGCAGGGTATGAAACTAACTGCAGCTTCATGATTGAGGTATACAAATGTCTACGGCATGGTGCTAAATGGACTTATATTTCTCAAAGTAGTCT